CTGTCTTGGTTGAGCTTTATAGCACCAGTCAAAGCAGTCAGAGAAGATTGAAGTGACACAGGCCCACTGAGTAAATAGTGAAACATGCAGCACATCATGAAATATTCAGCCAGGGTGTAAAAGCTCTAAATGCTTTTTCAATTATTAGCACCTGCACTGGCTGCACACATCTAACACTAACAGCATGTTAATTGCCACAATTTGTTAGGGTGGTTGTAGGAGAAATTTTGAAGGCGTGAGACGTTCTTTAGCGTGTCTTCAATTCCTCTCTTACCTTCAGCAAACCCACTCCTTCCTCCTAAAATTAAGCATCTGTGTGCATACACTTGCTAAGACATAGCCACAAACCCCTAAGTCAGGTAGGAAAACTCAAAATTCCTGAACCACAGGCAGGGTGTCTCTAAAGACCCTGAATCTTGTGCAGGAGACTGCTGAATATCTTTTTGTGTGCAAAATCCAGATATGTCTACCTGAGAAAGGCAGAGTTGCAGACTTAAACAGACACAGGTTAAAGAGGAGTAGTGTTTTTATCAGGTGTGGTTTGCGTTGACTTTATATAAGAGAATTTTATTGGAGGACAGAACCAAAACTAGCCAAGACATTGTCTTACTAATGTGTGAAGACTAAGAGATTAGAGTTTATTTTCAGGCAACACCAGGGTCCTCCCTGCTGGTCACCCAGCATTCTTGTTCCCAGTGCTCAGCACTCAGGGTAGTTCCACTGCAGACCAGGGAGGGCATGCTGTTCTAGTTCTCAATTGCATGTGTATAATAGCATAAGACAAGGGTGACATAATACAAGGGTTTGTTTAACAATAGCCATTTAGTGAGGCAGCCCTTTAGTCCTGAATAGTCTTTTTAGTTCTGTCCATCCCCAGTGAGTACCCAAAAGTTTCAGACTCAAAACCTCAGATTTTGCAGTGGTTATAACTGTGTGCTAGGGAAGCAATACTCTTTAAAATGTAATGCTGACTTCCTTGCAGTAGGTTTGCTGTAAGTGAGATTTATGGTTTTGCTTTAGGCTGTTGTCTTCCAGGCAGGCTTTTTGGGTTTGCAGCTGTAGCTTGGCATTTAGCATCGTTTTCAAGTTTAATTGCACATGAGTGGCGTTATAGGCTCTTCAAAACCCTGAAAAGATGGCATTTTGCTCTTCATTTTAAGTCATGCGTATGTAATATCTGCTATAAGAACCAGAGAAGCTATTTTTAAACTGGGGTTATGGATGAGGGAAATTTAACTTCTGTTCCTTTCCTTCCATATAGGCTATACATGTCTTTTCCTAGCCAGAAGGACCAAATGCTTTGGTCATTGCAAGTCATAAAAACCAACATCTCAATTAAAACAAGTACTAGGGGTTTAATTGACAGAAAGTGTTTTTCTTCATATGATTTGAATTCTTGAATCAGAGGACTTTGCAGCCCTGGAGAGCATAATGACTGCTGTGTGAATATAAGCATTTCTGCAGTAACCTGCCAATGTGACTCAAGCACAGCTTGACAAGGCCATCTTCAAGGATCAGGAGGCAGAGAGGCTCTAGAAACATTCAGTCCATGATTTGGCTGTAAGGGCAACAACTGTAATGCTTTGTGTAAAATAAATTTTAATGGGAAGAGGGTGTCCAAATGCCTTAGGCAGATTTGACAGCTTTGGCCTCTCTGTGTGTCTATCTTAATTAATTTTTAGTATTTGCAAAACAGGTTTGGATTATCAGATTAATGAGGGTGTATATGTCCAAAGTAGTAATACTATTTTATAACTCATCAATTCAGTTTTTAAATGCATAAGTCATTGTATCTTCTGATACACTCAGTAACATCTGAGGACAAAGTTGGACCTAAGTACCAAAGAGTTTCCAAGGTCCACAGACAGCCTCAGGGATCACTTTACTGAGAATGAAACAACATTGATTAAAGAGAAATTAAAATGATATCTTCGCCCAGAAGATTTAAATTTAATAAACCCACTTACATGGATAAACCCACATATTGTGAAACAAAATGTGGCTAGTCATATCACAGAGTCCTTCTCAGGCAATAATCCATTATCCTGGAGTAAAAGTAGAAAATATTTTCTCTTAGCATGTTTTCATGTTGTGTGTCCCATCCTTTTTGCTTCCTTTAAGGTTCCCACTTGCTATACTCCAAGCAATAAAGCAGAGTCTAAACTGTCTATGATGCTGCCAATAAATGCATGTATTGATAAAAAACCCAAAAACTAAAAATCCAAAGGGCTTTTTAAAAAAAAATCGCAATTTGTTGCCTAAAAATTCAACAGGGGATTACATCTGATGATTCACATGCTCTGTTTTTCTCTGAAACAACTTATGTTTAAGCCTAAAATATTCTAATAAACCTTTGGAAGAAGGTACTTTGAATGTTCCCTGTTAGGATGCAAAGCCCTAAAGAACTGTTCTGGGCTCTAAGCACTCACACTAAAAACTGCCTCAAACCTCAAGGCAGTTGACCGTAATTGGATGTCAGATATCTGATACCACCTGCTTTGTTATAACATTCCTTTCAATTTGTATCATTTCTGTGAATCATTTTTATGTCTGGGATTAGAGTATTGCTAAATAGTCACTTGTGTTAAAGCTTCAGATAATCTATTTAATTTCAAATCTCAGAACAGAAAGGAAACACTGACTACAAAATTAGAATATGGCATTGTTTAAAAATTTATTTATTACAGTTCCTCTGATGAAGGATAGGGGGGAAAGGAAAGTTCCTTCTTAAATGTGCTTGATTTCTGAAAGGAAAAGATGTGATTTGACTGGTGAACTTTGCTTTTGAAAAGTGAACTTTTCAGTGCTCCTCTAGAAAACTCATGAAGAAATGTTCTGTGGAAGTACTGGGGTAAAAAACCTAACCCTGAAACAACAGAAAGAAAATCATTCCTCAATGGAAGCTCCTCAATGGAATTCCTAATATTTTGGCAGACTTTCTTATTTTGAAGCGTATAGATAACGCATTCCATTAGAAAAAATAGCTGGGACAGGGCACCGCTAAATGTAGTCTGAACATTAGTGCAACCTTCAAATTGAAGCATTTTTATGGCTGCAGATCTTATTGTACCACCTCTGAGCAGATGGAGAATGCCCAGTGAGTGGCATCTCAGCTCCCAGACAAAACTACCATGGCTGCATCTTGCTGATGGATGCAAGAGAATGCAGAGTCTATGTGTTTTTATAGAAATTTAAAAAAAGACAACAGAACAACAACCAAGCCCCCACAACAAACGCCTTTGATACAGCTTTTTCATCTCTGCTTCCTGCGAAAGAGGGAACACACTTATGCAAGGCCTGTCATCATTCATCTTGGAGCAGGAACAGAGACTCCAGGTAGTCCAGTAGGGCTTCCCTGCTGCTAGTGTGTTACAGTGAAATCACTGAACTGTATTCTACTGAGAGAATTAAAAAACTTTGAAAACATAGTGTTTCTTCTTTCCAGATGAGTCTATGTCTTTGCCATGTGGGGCGTGGATTGTCTTAAAGCATCAGAAGATTCTGGGTTAAATGGAATATTGTATTAATAATTTCTCAACTTTTTTTGAACCACTTTCTTTGGAGTTGACCCTGAGTGAAATACATGAGAATTTTCTGCTGATTTCAATGGATCTGTAATCAATGGCTATGAAATCACAGTAATTGATCATCCTGACTGAATTTGAGATTGTACTTTTCATAGGAAGCAAGCGTTGGTTGCATGGTACCTTAGCATACCATGTTCAAGGTAAATTTACCTATATCACACACCATGTTCACAGTCTGCTTTAGCAGTCCATGCAGAAGAGAGGATGTCACCACAGTGTGCTGGTTCAAATGCTTTAAAAGCAGGAAACTTTCCTGTTTTAAGAGCTCAGAGCATATGGGCATTTCTTTAACAGGCTTCAAAGGGCAAACTGCTTTAAAATTTGGATACCTGTCTCAGAGCACTTAGCATATTCTTACATTGCAAATACTTCTTTGAAATGTTACAGTTCTATATCAAGATATTTCAAGCATTTATGACAAAAACCTGAGGTAAAGACTGCAGTTTTCCAGACAAAGCATTATTGAATCATGCTAAATACAAGATTTTAGGGTCAGTTTACCCTGTACCTTGTGAATATGATTCTGTTAATGCTATTGCATAATGCAGTCACTTAGGGCTCTTCACCAGCATGTGAGTGTTGGAGTCACTTAGTACTTAATTTAATGTTTGATTTTAGCATATAAATTAAAGGACTCTGTGTCTGCGCTTAGATGTAGCTATATAGCTGGAGAGCAAGTTCATAAAAATATCTTTTATTTGCTTCTCCTTTGAGAAGCCTTGTGCTTTAAAATGTTCCAGCAGAAACACTTGGAAGGTTATCACAGGTAGAGTTGTCAGAGAAAATGGACATTGTTGTTTGGTATTAAAATCATGTATTCCAGATGTGGGCATTTGTTAGTCAGTCTGCTCTAAAATGACATACTGTTGAATCTTTAAAAGGCTTCAGTTTGGGAAAGCAAAATATGATTGGGCAAATTGCTAAAATATTTAAAGTGCAGCCTGTTAAAGCTTTTACTGTGAAGAGCATCACGTCAGAAGTTGTATGTGGTAAAAGCAAGTAATTGGCTTTCCATACTTATGCCAGTCAGTCAGCATGGGGCTCTGTTCCTATCCCTTCTACTTCATTGCAGATGCCTATAGGAACTTTGATATTTATTTCAGAGGGGTGGGACTGAAAAGAAAAAATCTTGGATGGATGTGATGGTGTCAGAAAACCCTATTTAAAATTAAGTTGTTATTGGCATAAAAGAGCATAGAAAGTCATTGAAACTGCACCCAACATTTAAAATTTAATTTTTTGTTTTGGTATGCCACTTTTGTTTAAAAATGTCCTTATTGAAACCATGTTAAAGTGTAAATACATTTCATTTTTTTACTTTTGTCCCTCTTTGTACATAGCTCTTGGGATGTCTTTCCATCCATAATTCATAGTATTTTCCATTTATGCTGTCCTCAACTTGTTTTTCCCCAGGCATGACCCCTTGTTAATTCCTGGCAACGAGCAGATTGACAATATGGATGCCAACGTGAAAAAATACGACTCTACAGGGATGTTTCATTGGTGTCCAGCCAAAGACATCGAAAAGGTCATTTTGGTAGGTATTGATGAGGAGTTGTGTTTGAAAAGAGGTTATTTAAACCATAGAACTGATGTCTAATGGATAAATAAGTTCATCTCTGTCACAAAATCCAGTGTGTTGAAATCAGGAGCAAGAGTGATGAAACCAAAGCTAGGATTTTGGTTAAAGAATTTTGATTGCATAAATCTTTGTGCCCAGTGCAACAATAAAAAGTCATCCAGTATAGGGAATTTCTTTTTCATAAACTGAAATTTACATATTTGGTTTAAATCTTTATAGAGAATTAAGATTAGAAATACTTGAATTCTTCCATACCCCACTTTTCTCTTTACGCAAGAGAGTAATGATTCTAACACAGACAATTGTTGTTTTGACTTATCTCTTGTTTATTGATGTTTTATTAATTATTGTTAATTTATTTTTATTAATTTTGCTCTCTTAGAACTCCTCTCTCAATTCCCAATGTTTCAAGATGCCCAAATAGGCCAGAGCAAGTAATGCTCCTACTCAGACTCTAGCACGTTGCAGTGAGCCCTGTCTATGTTTGTTTCATTCCTTTAACTGGGAAAACCATCAAACTGACTCAAGTCATTAAAAATAATTAGGAGGCCTATCACAGTCTATTTTGAAAGTTTATGCCACTTGTGTTCATGTACTTATACCTAAGAGTAGCAAGTAACTAACCCCAGATCTCACACGCAAAACTGATTATATTTGAAATGAACTCCCTGGTGGATCTTCACTTTGTCGCACTTCATAAAGCTTTTCCTGAGCCTGCTCTCTTAGATTTTCCTGCACTGTGGCATGGTGTAGCCAACGATGGTGACAGCCCCAGTTATTCTAGCAATCAGGGGTTAAAAGCTTGTCTCCAGTTCTCCTCAGGGGTTTCTGTAATAACTCTGACATTGCCTGGAATTGCAATATCAGTGTTTAAATGGCCAAGCAAGTAAATTCTAAATTTTGGAGATGGAGCTTGAGATGGAGTTTTCCTGAACAGCTTTAAATAGCATCATTTATTTGTAATCAGCAAGCAAGAAGGGGTAGCCCTGCTGTACAACCTTTTGTAATAGAGATAAAAATCTTCCTTTGTGGTAAACATTTTAGCTGGCAAACTGCATGTTGCCCTACTTTGAAAAGTGTTCCCTCACAAATGGTGCTGGGGAGCAACTCAGCTATCATCTCTAGGTTATGCCATGTTATTTTTTTCCACTACCAGCCTGTGAATCTGCAAGTCTGCCCCGGTTCTTTCTGCTTCATGCATCATCACCAATACACTGCCAGCAAAATGCTTCCCTACACCTTTTCAAACTCACAGTCCACAATTTATGTCTACATTCATATCTATGCAAATTTAATGCTGTCCTTAGAGACCGCACAAGTACAAATTAGTGCATAATTTGAAGATGATGAGATTTCCCAGGTTGTCTTCTAATTGATACTTGATGATGTCCCAGTCAGAAAAGAATTATTTTTTCTGCCCAGGATCTGTTTTGGCTCTATGACATTCCAGCAGTATCAGGTAGTTAGAAGGGATTTTTGCCATACATGGCTACATACAGATTTATGGAGTGACATTTTTTACATACCTGCTTTCAAGACTTGGTCTCTGTCTTGTAAAGTCTGAGTATTCCAGATGCATGGGCAGAGGCATGGGACAGCTTAGATACTTCACTTGAGGATTCTTTCCTGTCTTCTGCTGTTTGAAGGGCCAAGACAACTCTCTTGGTCAAGCTGTATGAAAATCAGTGCAATTTCTCTGGAGAAACTGAAAGCTCATGCATTTTTTAACTGATGAGAAAACTTCTAATCAGAGTTCCCATTCTTCTGACATAATGAATGTATCTGCTGCATATTCCAATCTTAATTGCACACCACCATGCTTCTGTAATTTAGAAAAATGACTTACACTGTGGATAAGTGAGAGGAAAATTTTGCGTATTGCCACTGGTTTAGTTTTGTTCATTGGCAAAACTTCTGTGTAATGGTAGTCAGTGTACAATTTCTTGGCAATATGGTAACAGTGGTTCTCCAACTACGTGATGGAGCACTACAATGCCAAGACTGGCTTCAGAAATTAAGGTAATTTTTTCCATGTGGCTTTATTTAATCATCTTGGTGTTTGAGTTGCCTGCTCAACTGAACTAAACAATGCTGAAATTAGTGCAAAAAGTTATTCTTTCACTGACACAAGAAGATAATTCTGGACTCTGTTTGAATATTCTTCATGAGATCTTCTCCTCAGTAAGTCCAATTGGCCTGGAAGTTTAGTATTAGTCACAAACTTGCCCTTGTATTTTGTTACTGTGAGAAGCTTTGTGGCATATAGTGGGCATCCACTGGAAAGCAGAGCAGTGTAGGGCATTCATGGATTGCTTCTCAGAGAAGCAGCAGCTTGTCCCTAAATAAGAGCTTTGACTCTAAGAGATTATGGTCCTCAACTCGCAAGATCTGAGTAATATCACAAAGCCCTACTAGGAGCACTGGACACTCAACATCTTCCTTTCCAAATTGGCACTGGAAAACCCCATCCAGTGATTTGTCAACCAGGGCATGACTTTGCATCTCTTTTCTGTAATCCTTAGCTAAACCTACAGTACTTTGTAGCCAGAGTCACAATTCACATGTATAGAAACTTGCACAGGACCAGAATTTGGTCCAATACTATATCTTCCCATATGCCAGAGGATTTGCAATCAAGAACAGTTTGGTTTTTTTTTTTTTTTTCTGCTAAGCACATTTAATGAAATATGAATAAGGGTAAAATGAATAGCTGTATCAAACTATTTCTTTGTGCATGAACAATATTGACAGTTGTATTTTTCCTGGTTTTAAACTCAATATATGATTTAAGATTCCCTTTGTTTCATTTTTCCCTTGTCTTTTTGTTTTGTTTTGTTTGTTTTTTTTTAGACTCGAAGTGAAGCAGCGATGACAGTTTTAAGTGGGCATGTAGTCGTTTGCATATTTGGGGATGTTAAATCTGCTTTGATTGGATTAAGAAATTTAGTGATGCCATTACGAGCCAGCAACTTTCACTACCATGAACTCAAGCACATTGTGTTTGTGGGTTCACTTGAATACCTGAGAAGGGAATGGGAGACACTGCATAACTTCCCCAAGGTTTCAATCTTGCCTGTAAGTTCAAAAGCCATATTATTGATACTTTGTTATTTAGGACACCAGCTGGACAGATTCGTATTGACTTTGATCTTAGGCTTTTTTACTTTTGTCTACTTATAGGCCTGAGGACTTAGATTTTCCCTTTACTGTGTCTATGAAAACAGAGCCCTGTGAGACCTTATTAGATGTTATTTTCTGCAGTGTTTGGTGCCTCATCATCCTCATCGGATGAGTTTCAGCTGCTATCAGATGTATTAGCTGTGTTATGTATTGACCATTCACTGTAGTGCCCTGCATGGAGCTGGTTCTGATGTTGTGATTTCCCTGACAGAATGACAGTAGTTATTTATGATATTATTTATGCTTTTATACCCACAAAACCTTTGAAAAAATTATTGTTACTCTGTCAATGTAATATTTATATGTATTCATAAAGACTTCCTGTGGACTGGCCTGCTTTATAAGGAACACTGCCCTGGCATTTCAGTTGAGAGTCCTGTATGAAAGTGCAGCAAAACCCTGACCCTTTTTAAATCAATGAAAAGCTCCTATTGATCTTGGTAGGCACAGCCACTAAAACTGCAAAAGCGCTTTTTCTCCTATATATCATTATGATTCACTCATATGACCACAATATAGAATCAAGAGCTCCAGGACTAACAAATAAAGTCCCCCAAGCTGGTGATCTTAGGTGACCACAGCTATAAATGACATGTGGGAGCCCATGGTATAAGTGAAAGAAAATGCTCAGCATGTTACATAGCAAAGTTAGTTTAGATATTTTTTAAGAATGAAAAATTATAAGTTTACTAGTTTTAGTAATTTCATTTCAGCAGTTAAAAATAAACAAATCAATGATGAATGTAACCTTAACTGAATAATTGGGAAAATAGCTATAGAATGAAAGGACTGTCTTTGCTTTTTGATTAATTCAGACTGTAGGTCTTTGTTACTGTAAATGCAGTTTTAGTGTTAGCCCTTGGCATTTTTCTGTAACCTGATCCAACAGATGGTGTCACAAGATTCTCGGCTGTCACAAAAATGGTGTCAATATCAGATTTGGTCAGTTAATATCCTCCTCTTTCTGCCAATTCCTTTTAATTCCAGTCACTGTGAAGGCTAAAGACTAGAGAATCAGAATTAAATTGATAATACTGTTGAACTATCAAGCAGAAAAGAATCCCGCCACTGTTTCCAGTATATAATGTTTATCCATTATTACAATATGTTTTTGCAAAGTTTTGATTCTGAATTCTGAAGAGGCATAAAATAAATATACACCAGCTTTACTTTCCCTAGTTTACACCAAAATTCAGAATAGCTTTAGATTAATTTTGACTTGAACAGCTTAAATAGTTAGTTGATGCAACTTGAAAAATACAGAAATTTATAAAGGAATTGTATCTGACATAGTAATCAAGAGTGCTAAAGACCACACAGACTTCATTCCTGTTACTTCCTTTTTTTTTTTTTTTTGCAGCCTATTTGGTTCAAAATGGTGATATAAAGTTAAAATATCTGATGTAATTTTACTAATGTTAAAATGTACTTAAGGGTCTGAGATTATACTTGTAGGAACCTGTTAGAAGGAGGCCACTTTCATAGTTCCCTGTGTTTTGGTTCACAAGGTAAAACTTGCTGCTGATATCTGATGGAGATGTGGTTACAGCTGAATATGAAAACATTTGTTCTAGTTTAAAAAAAAAGTAGAATTTAAAGTCTGTATTAAGAGATGCCTTTAAGCTGCTGAATAAACTCTTAAAAAGTAGGCAAATGCCAATTTTAAATATCCTCAGGCAGCCTTAATTCTGTCCCTTTGCATAAAATCATTAGGAGTGAGCCTCTAATTAATTACATGATTGCATATTATTTTTCCCCACAGGAACCCTGCTTCACTTGGTGCACAGTACAGGCACAAAAGGCAGGATTAAGGTGGCTGGAATAATCATATTCTAACTTTGGAGCAGTTTATAATGAAATCATATCTGTTTGATACATACTTTTCACAAGGTTTCATGCCTCAAATTATTGAAAATTACATGGAATAATTAAACTGGCAAACACTGAATAAGAATTGAGCTCTTCCTTCACTGTGTGCATTTTAAATTCACTTTTGCATTGAGTTCTCTCAGTGGAGTTCAGGAGGTATTCACCATGAATGATCAGGAGATGGAAGACCAGGGTCTTGACTTGATTTTATGAAAATCCCTGCATGACACTGGGACAGTTATGTCTCCTCATCGTTGAGCTCTTTGGGTACAAATCTATGTGAGGCAGCAGAGTAGAATCCAGTTTCCATTTAAAAAAAGGGAATATATTTCCTGGACCTTGCAGCCCCTGTGATGTAGACTTAATATTCTGTAACTACAGTTGTGGACTGTTGAATGTGAAAGGCAAGTGTATTTTAAACAAAAAATATCATGTTAAGTGTCATATCTCAGCTTTGTTAACTATGAAAAAAATCCACAGGCTACCACAGCATTTCATTTTAATGATTCCATTCTCTGATTGAGGATTGTGGAACAGGGAACGTTGCACAAGCTGTGCCCATTAGGATAAAGTCCTGCTTCTGTTTCAAAGGGTTTAATCACACAGCTTTGAAGCTCAGTGTGTTTTCCTTCTAGAAGCACCAAAAGCGTGCTTTGAAAAGGATTAACCTTTTCTGTGTATTGCTTTAGGTAGAAAAAAATAGCTTTGTCCTGATTGCATTTCAAATGTGCAGGACACGTAATGCTTTCCTGTTTAAATTGCTGTTCTTTTGCCCAAGACCATTGTGGCTTGGTAGTAGATAAATAGACATTTAAAACACCCCCTTGTTATATTCAGAGAGCCAGAGGTTGCCACATGATAGCAGCTTAAATCAAGACAATTTCAAGTCACCGATGAGATGTAGAATGCTGGCATTATTCCTGTTTCTTGTTTGTTAGTAATAGCTTGACTGAGTATTGAGACTGAACCTAAAATGCTGCCATCAGCACCAACTACCCTTTAGATTAGCACACATCTCCTATTCCCTGGCACATAGTTAGACCAGCTTAATGTCAGAGCATAAAAAAGATACTTGTTAAATAATTTCCCAAAGCTCCTTCTCAATCTTTAATTTGTTTTTCTTTTTTTCCCCTCTCCTGCACCCCCCTTTTCTCCTCGCTGTGCCGAAGGGTACGCCATTAAGTCGGGCTGATTTAAGGGCTGTCAACATCAACCTCTGCGACATGTGCGTTATCCTGTCAGCCAATCAGAATAATATTGATGATGCTTCGCTGCAGGACAAGGAATGCATCTTGGCGTCACTCAACATCAAATCTATGCAGTTTGATGACAGCATTGGGGTCTTGCAGGCTAATTCCCAAGGTAAGGACTGCCCTATAATACTTCTCTGCAGTGCCTACAGGGGACAGGACCTGGCAGGAAGAATATCCCTCACTCAGTAATTCAAAGAGCCCTACATCAGCTTGCTTGACAGTTAAACCTGCTGATTGGTATGATGGCTTTTAAAGGGACAGTCACGTAGTTTCTCTGCTACATCACAGAGCACATCTTTCAAACGAAAAATGAATGAACATGAAAATGGCATTTTTTCTCATTTTGAAATTTTCCTAGATAATGTATAAAAACGTTGTTTTCTCACTGTGGCTTCCTTTACAGGGTGAGTTGCTGTTATATAACCGGTGATAACTTGCAGTTATTCTTTGGAATACCTGAATTCTGTCTAAAAAAATTTATTTTTATGTAAAACACATTGAAACTACAGAGAAAATGCAAGTTTTAGTAACACAACCCAAAAAGTAAAATAAAAACAACATGAACTTTTAATTTTCTTTGCAGCTTTGGCGCCTTCTTGCTCAAGAAGCCACAGAGAATTAACTCAAAGCTGATTTCTTCCCATGGTTTGACATGCACTCATCCCATTTAAGAACATTGAACAAAATCTTTCAGTCTTTCCAGAGAGAAGGGGACTGATTCATAGGTTGCCAAAGGCTATTTTACACCATCTGTGACTGTGCAAAGCAGCTGCAAAGCAGTCATAAGCACCCTGGCAAAGACCATCAGTGTAAAAACAATCATCTTCCCATCCCTGAAGGGTCTTGCAGCTTATGCAGCTGAAGTCCTACCTTTGATAAACCTATTAAGTGCAGCAGTAGATATTCCCTCTGGATCTAGTTCTGCTGTAAATGTAGGTGGAAAGGATTGTGCTTTGGTCTGCAGTTTCCCAGAGAGCCTGGTCTAGAGATAGGTTTCCCTCAAGGATTGTGAGAACTAAGATTAAGTTCACATTTTCCTCTTTACACTCTAATCAGGAAATAGGAATTATATGCCAAAAATCAGAGGTTGCAGTGGAACTTCTTGAATATAGAAACTTGAACATAGAAAATTCTTTCTTAGAATCAGCAATAAAATAGTGGAATTCAATACTGGAATTAAATTGTTCCAGAAAGCTAAAAGTTTGAACTTTTCAAAGTCAAATTGGACAGTTTTCTGGATAAGAAGTAGATTTAGAGAAGAAAAGGAAGAAATTGATTGTTTTCAATCCCATGAATGTTGAAAGTTTCAAATCTGTGGTCTGGAAATAACAAAACCCTAAATACTTTAGAGTTCTTTCTTCACAAATTTTTGAGGCCAACTTGCTCACAGTCTGATAGCTTGTAGTCATGATTAGGAAACTCATTGCAGAAGTGGAAGACATGCATAGAAGTTCCTTCTTTTGCTGGTTTAGCCCTGGGATCTGAAATTCTGTGTCTCAAAACTAAATCTGTACTTCCACTACCAGGCTAATGGCTATTCTTTGGTGAATCTCTGTCTCCTGTCACACACATAATTAAAATAATCAAGAATCTCTTCTTGACAAACAGTCTGAGAGAATTTTCCATCTTTGCTTAGAAGTTAGAGACATTTCCAGCACTTGACTGTTTTATTTTACCTCTGGGAGTACACAGGGTCACACAATCCCTCAGTGAGGATAGAGAAACCTGTCAATATCCAGTCTTGTGCACCGCATGAACACCTGTCATTTTTTACTCTCCATCCTTGGAGTTATTCAAGACCTGACTGCACAGAGCTCAAAGGAGCTGATCTGACCTCATAGCTGACCCTGCTTAGAGCAGGAAATAAGACCAGAGACCCTCCAACGTCCTTTCCAGACTGAATTGTGTGACTCTCTAATACCCAGGTTGCTGCTGCAGCAATAGGTCAGGAAGTGTTCGCTGGCCATAGTCCAAATCCCTTAAGCCCTTTTAAATGTTGCTGATGCAGAGAAGCAGAGGAACAATAGGTGAGCACATTTTTAGAAATTTTTGACATTTCTTCAGGTAAATACCGGACTGCATGTTAAAAAATTAAAGGTGACTCTTTCCATAGATGGTCTGGGGAAACAGGGAATAGCATAAGTCAGGCAACCAGCAGCCTATTTTAATTGGAAGCACTGAATGAGGAGGGGTTCTTGCAAGCCCAGTTGCTCCAGAAAACAATTATCTTCACAGTAAATTCTCTGTTTATGAAATCTACAACTCCTGACTTGGTTCTGCTCCTTTCAGTACTGTAAATTTTCATGAAAGACCTTGAATAAAATGATTAGACTGTCAGAAGCAGTTAGAATCAGTGGATAGCACAAACTTTACTGGAAATTATATGCAATGTGACATTTTTGTCTCTGAAATGCAGCTTTAACATACGGTGGACACAACTATCATGACAATTACATAAAGTAGATGATTCAACTTTTGCTGGTCAAGAAGCAGCATATTAGAACAAACTCACAGATTCTTGCTGACAATTAAATATCTTTATTTATAGAGCAAGTTGTCATTTTACATTTGTGTATTGCTTGCCTGAGTTTTTCTAGATCTTAATGCATGATTTTGAATTAAGACATTCTCATCAACATCATGCTTGGATGATGTGTTATTCTTTCATGTTACTTCTGTTACTGATCATCAGAAACACTGACATTAGAAAATATGGAGGTGTGGCAGAAGTCAGTTGCTCTGTGACAGGGTGTTGAAAAGAGAAGAAATAAAACAAAATATGTGAGCAGTCTAAGAAATGTATGGGGTGAGCTGCAAGATTTTTGGTGAGGGATTTAGCAGTATTTGCTATTCTGGGTAAATAAATAGTATTTCATATGTATAATTATGTAGTCAGTAAGTGATGGAATCTCATATGAAATCCTGATATATAATTCATGTTTACATTTCCGAAAAAAATGCTAAGTTATTGAATATACAAGGATCTTTCTAGTGTGTGTCTGTGATTGTTTCATTTCAGCTTTAGGCAAAAGGTGACACCAGTACAAGAAGGGTGCCATAAAACAGGATGCGAATTTATTTAACCATCAGATAAGCCATAATTGTTGGCAAGTGTTGAAGTACAGGCCTATGTCTATAACTCCTTTGCTTTAAGTTGGTAGCAGGAAGAAAATCCACACATTTTGGGATTTCATTCCTTTTTTCTTAGAGCTTCATCCTCATCACCTGCTTTAACACCAAAGTCACTCTCAGTCCTAGGCATATTAAAATGTGTCTCTGTATCCATCCAAACATGCCCTTTCCAGCCAGAGATGTAGCTTTGAAGCAGAACCCAGGTGCAATCTGAGAGGAAGGATCTTGCAGAAGGAGCAGGTGGGTGGACACATGACAGCATACTTTGCTGAAAGGGAAATTTCTATAACAATAGGGTTAGCAATTCCCAATGCATTAACTGCTGAAAAATCAGCTCTGAATTAATCTGGTTTGCATCAACAAAGGATTTTCTGACTACTAGTGCAAGATGAACTTAAAACACACACAGCCATTCTCATACAGAAGTGAAGATTTGATAGTATTTCCTTATGGTGTAATAATATCCCCAGGTTTTCTAACTGGTTGACAGTAATTATCAATTATCTGGACCTTCTGTGAGCAGCAGCGTTTTTGTCCTCTGGCTTGCCCATCTTGGGTCATAAGTGATCCTGCCAGAATTGCATCTCATCTAAGCACAGTGCTCTGCCTCGACCTTCCACAGAAGAAAAATCCAACTCAAAGTTCCAAGACACAGGAAAAAAATAATAATCTGGACCAGAGCTACAAATGACCTAGCGTATCCAGAGGGGATGGCAGTAAACTATCTAAGTTGTCAAATCTATGTTCATCATCAGCTGTCTGGCAACATAGGACCAGATGCATGGCTACACAGAACTGCTTGTGCAAACAACCTGTCTTCCTTAGGAAGAAAAGCTTACTAACAATTTTGAAAGGATTTTCTGGTCTCCTTTACATAAAATATGTACTTCTACTCGAAAAGAATTTCTTTCAAATTAAACCTGTGCTGTTGGAAGTTCACTCGTTGAAAGTGTTCTCAGGGCTGTCTGCATTGATTGTTTCAAAGGTGACTGGGCAGCTCTGTAGGCTTGCTAGAGGTTAGGGCTGCAGACTCTAATGTCCTGAAAATGAGCTTTGGAAATCATCCCGGCAGTTCATTGCCTTTGGGAGACCTAGAACCTGGATTCCAAGGACAGAAAGGCCAAAGTGTATCCCACTGAAGCTGCAGCACACTATTGTTTCATTAAAATATCTCAGATTTTGAAGTACAGAATGCTGTAAAATGAGAACTTGGCCCACCTCTTCACAAAATTATAAACTCAACCTTATTTTTGACAAGAAAGCCCTGTGTTTGACTTGATCACCTCTTAGAAATCTTGACTGATTGTCTTCCTAGAAAGATCTGTAAAGAGGTATGTGTTTGGATAAGAGGGTCACCCCCAGGTACTGGAGATTGCTTTTTATTGTCCTTTCTGTTTCTCATTCTGTTTCCTCAAACAGAAATGAAGATTATTTCATCAAGAATTATTTTGGAGAGCAGACCAGGGAATATTAGATCCATAGTCATACCATGTGCTCCTCTGTCATAACATTTTTCCAAAGCACCCAGGAGGACTGGATGTGTGATGGGTTCTGCCTTGGCTGTTAAGCTGGGAGACCTCCAGTAATTTTCCTTTCCTTCATTTTGTTGACATTTCCATCCTTTCTTCTTCAAGTATCATCCATTGACTATTCCTATATAGTTTTTCATGCTTCTCAGTTTTTTCTTAGAGTCCTACTTTGTGGGGATTTTACTTGTTATTTTATCCACCAGATGAACATGCCCCGACACAAAATATTTATCTTCAGTTGTAACTAAAGCTGCTATTTGGCTTTCTTCCCAACACCCAGAAAGACAATTATACCTAACTGTTTAGAGATTTATAAATACTGTACTGGAGTAGCCTCTGGGTAGTAACTTTAGATATCCAACTCAATAATTTTCTTTTATTGGATAGTGATTTAGAGCATATTTTGAGTCCTATATAGTAAGAGCAGTACATTTCATTAAAAAACACT